ATATATAGAGGTATGCGTTTTTGGATTTTTGCGTGAAATATGAAGATCCAAAGAAGCTCTTGATATATCGAAGCGTTTTGAATATATGGCCGTTATATTTTTCGCGAAATGGAGTGCATAAATCAACTCCCTTCTGTACCATACTAAATTTTCTTTCGAAATGCGTTAATCTCGTTATTTATTCGCCGTACTTCGTGGAAAACCATGGAAAGCTCTTCGCCCTTTTTACATTTTCGTATCAGATATACATAAATGCAAAAACGGTTAAGAGCAACGCAGGTTTTTGGTATTCCTGTGAAAGATACGTGATACATGAAATGGCAATGTAAGCGAACATGCGCAATACGCAATCCATGCAAGAACTACAGTGGCAACTCATACACATAGGGTATCCTCGATATTGTTACTCAGAAAAGATATCGTTTGTTTGTTTACCAGAATCAATGATTCTCAAGATATAAAAAAGGTACAAAAGTAAAATATGAATAAACTGTATAAAATTGAATTCCTCCAGACAATGAGAGTGTTTCAATTTTACAAAAATGATATTAATGCAACTTTAATGATTTTGATGTAAAATAATAAAAATTGAAATATAAAATTTTTATAAAGAAAAAATTATCTGGAAATTTCCAAAAAATAATCTACTTTAAAAAAAAAACCTTGATATTTGAGACACCCTATATGTGCATGCAATATTACTAGGTGGTCACTCGCGATGGCTACACAGACAATGTACCAGCGGTTGCTCATTTCACGAATTAATTTTCCAGAAAAGTACATGCAGAACGTCACGCGTTATTGTCATCCTCGCTCTTAGACCATTAATTAAACGTAACGTAAAATGACATGAGCATGCACTCTTAATGTCCATTCCGTACCGGATGTACTTTGGATGAATTTTATAACTTTTTTTTCATCTTTTATACGCGCATGCTTTTAAATCCAAATTAAAAAAATTAATTTCATTATATACAATGTCCTAAATTCGCTATATTATTTCTCTTTTACAAAAATTGTTGGAGATCACAGCTTGTCACATTTACATCTATAATATTATTCTTTGACTCTCATTAAATTCAAATTATAAATGTATTTTGTCTCTTTTGTAAATTGTAATAGACATTATTTAATCCAATTTAATATAACATATAACATATAATATGTAATTAACTAAGTATTAATAATTTTTCAAATCAATTTTTATACAAAAATGCACATAAACATTCGTATCATTCCTTGTTCAAAAGACAGTGTTCTTATATAATTAAATTTCTAATCAGCCAATGACAAAAATTGAACTTAATAATAAGATAACTTAATAAAAAATGTGTTAAATATCTTTGCAAGTCTTTAATGTAAATTCGAAATCTTTCGTCTTTATGAGATATTAGTAAATTCGTCGGACACGAGCCTTCCTTAATTAAATACGAGTTCGTAGGGCGAATAATATCTCTCAACTACGCCGATTTTGCATTGCAAATCGCGGCCTCCGACAAATCTCGAGATCTGCATAAGTATAAAAATAACGAGGGGCAATGGCGTCCAGGTTCACGTGAATCCCGAGATGCTCTGCGAAAAAGGGTCGATAGTACTCGTCCCGAAATTTAGATTCACGGAGATAAACTCGCCCACGTTTCCAACTCTCCCCAGCCCCCTCCGGCGTTAATTAAACCCCAATAAAAGTGGAGTGCTCTCTCTCTCTCCTGCTGTCGATATTTAGAACAGTTTCATTTACTATCCGTGACGATTAATGGTCCTCGAAGCAACCTACCCCTACAGTTTCGCAGTTCTCATTTCATGCGAAACTCGTTGTTTTAAAGAAAAGAACATAATAAAAGACAGTAAACTATCTTATAAACATCCTGTAAAGCCTGTCTAATATTAAATATTAAATATTAAATATTAAAATATTTTCAAAAAAGCACGCTTATTTATAAAAAAAAAAAAAAAAAATATTTTCTCGAAGTAAGATTATTTTTTACGTTTGCAAAAACCGAGTGCTTTTTCCTTAGCCGCCTCAATTTCAAGTTGACGACCAGAGCACTCGATACACAGGAGAGAAGGCTATTGACACGGATATAAACAGTTGTAAACGGGTAACACGCGTTGCGGAAATAAAGCCCGCGGATACAATGAAACGCGGGCGCAATTATTTCTCGGCCATGAAGAGAATTACGGGCCACAACTGGCGCGCTGCATATTGCCGAAGGGACAGGAAAGGGTGAACGAAAATACAACCGGCATCCAATAGCGAAAGGGGAAGCGAACGTTGACCACATCTCGCTCGACATTCGGTCGGGAGCTTGTTTAATTCCCAGGTAATAGACGGCAATTAATTTTTTTACACGAAATAAAAATCAGTCGCGCGAAAGCAGTTCAGTTAAAATTAAAAAAGTGGAAATTAAAAAATGAATAGCGTATCGGTATTTTAATCTCTACATATTCGTACTAAATACTGAAAAAAAAAAGAAATTACTAAATAAAATTACTAATATGAATGTAGCAGGAAGTCAAAAATTTATATACATTGCAAAGATCCATTTATGCTATTCGATACTTT